GTATGTTCCCTGTACCTGATAGTCTGTCCACACATCCATGAGTTTGAATCTTCCCTCTGTTCTTCCTGCAGCAGACTCCTCTGCTTGTGCCAGTCTCCTGCCTTACACTACATAAAGTGTCTCTCAGGAGAAAGCCTTGTCCTGTCCATCTTGTTGAGTCCCTGAATTTTAGCTACCTATCCCCACCTCTGTTGCAGGTTCCCTAAAGGCAGAGAGCTGCCTCTGCTGCAGTCTCCAGCAGCTTGTAAACTGTGTTGCCACTAGCTGTTAAACCTATTTGCTGAATGTCCCTAACTTACGTCAGACCCAAGTCGGATGGCATAGAACATGGTTCGTGAGGGGAGGGGTAAAGGTTAGTCTTGGGAGCCTTCACATACAGCACTGACAGCCCAAAGTAAAAACTTCTGAAGCAACACCAGCATGCACTTGAACACGCACATGCATATACCCCCCAAATACACACATACGTGCATGTATACCCAAACATGTCTTCATCCCAGAATCGGGAAATCCAGTGAGAGGGGAAGGGACTCTCCATATTGCCAGCAAAAGCTTCACTGTTCTATCCATTGTACTCATTAATGTTGACTCTGCTGGGCTTTCATTATCAGTGTAATAAATATTTATTGTAAACACCGAATAAAAACATCTACATATTTCCACTGGTAAAAAGCTTTGATATATATGGGCTGGGAGTGTGGCTGGGTTGGCAAAGTCCTTGCTGCGCATGCACAAGGCCCCGAGTTCAGATCAGCACTGCATAGTGCTGGGCGTGTGGGTATGACTGTCATGTCATCCCATCACTCAGGAAGTGGATCAGGGACCTCCCAAGTGTAAGGTCATACTCCGTTAATTAGGGAGTTCGAGGCCAGCCTGGGTTAGATGACACTCAAAAGCAAAGTGAAAAAGAAAACCTCCAGTGATTTAGTGGGAAAGTCCTTAGTTTTTTATGATAATTCTGTGAAAACACTTTCTAACCTTGTTAGGCAATGTGCACACACTGTATTTCTAAGGCTGAAAATAATGAGAAATAGATAAAAGAGGTCAAGTATGGGTGATGTTTTATGACAAGTCCCAGTCTTTGGAAGCTGTTCTAAGGTTGCCTGCATGCCCTCCAAAACCACAGTACTTTTATCAATACCTTAAACCTGAATTTCTCTGAATTCCTTCATGAAATACTTTCTCTGCTATTAAAGGTGCTACAAATCATAAGGAATGTTAGCAGTTGTCCCTTTAGAAATAGTACTTTTTGTTATGAAGATACAGATGTCTGCATTCTGAGGGATTTTATTTGTGCTTTCACTAAGTGAACGGTGTCTGTTCTAAGTAATGTAGACTACTGTAGCTTTTGCTTTTAGTTCGTGAAGTGACTGAGCCCCTGAACTTGAATCCAGCTAAACGGCCTCGTCGACAAGACTGGGATGGAGAGTTATATGAAAACGGCTCATTTTATTTTGCTAAAAGACATTTGATAGAGATGGGTTACTTACAGGTTTGTATATTCATTTTATACAACTCTTCAAACCCTTCTGTATTGTGTTTGGAGTTCTGGGAGAGGAGCTTGGCTACACCATCCTTAGAGTAAAGGTGGGGTTATCATCCAGCTGCTGGTCCTGAGCTTCACCCGCAAGGTGATCTTCAGAATTCACAGTCAGTGTCTGTGGAGTTCTGTTCAGTTGAATAGTGAGGTAAACATGGGGTAAGGGCTGAGAACTGATAGGGTCATCAGTTGTTTGTTGTCCATATTAGGTTACAATTAGATTGTGGCAGTGTGGTTAAATAATTTCTACTACTTTAAAACAGAAAATATCCAAAGCTACGGAGAGACACCCTGTCTCGAAAAACAAACAAACAAAACAAACAAAACAGAAAACAAGCAGTTCAGTAGATCTGGGAGAGCATTGACCTGGTTTTCTGGAAGGCCAAATTCTGTGACTGTCCCTATGTCACCTTGACTATTGTTCTGTGCTCTTGTTTTGAAATGAGAGGATTGGCAGTCTCTCATTCTTGAGCCTGTGTACTGAAAAATTGGTTCGTTTGGTTATAGCTGCTGATGCACCCTTAGGGTGGGCTGTGGGAAACCCTGCAGCACCTACAGCCGTCTGCACGGCTGCTGAGGAGCGTGCTCATTCCTACCCCATTTTAGAGAGCTGACAACTGCAGCTCTGAAAATAAAACAATTAGGAGCTGGCTCTGGAGTTGGGAGCCCTGGCTGCTCTTCCAGAGGCCCCAAATTCAGTTCCCAGCACCCACACGGCGGCCACCACCATCTGTTCACTCCAGTTCTAGCAGAGTCAGCACCTCCTTCTGGCCTCTTTGCACACTATTTATGCAAACAAAACATTCTGTACACAAAACAGCAAACTTTTACAAATGAAACATTCAAGACAGAAACAATACTGTTGAGACTTAAGGCCCTTATCTTACTAAAAAAGAAACAAACGGGGGAGCATGGGTCCGAGATGCAGGGGTGGAAGGAGCTTGGTGGGTAAAGCACTTGCAGACAACTGTGAGATCCCCAGAAGTCCCTAAGAGCCTGGTGGTCATGGGACCCTGCCTGTGGCTGCAGAGTTCAAAAGGTGATTGTGCGCATCCCCTGGGCCAGCTGGCCTGCAGGGTGGTCTGTCCCAGTGAGTGAAGAGGGGGTGATTAAGGAAGACTCCCAGTATCAATCTGAGCCTGTCCCGTGTGCATGAGCCAGGTTCATGTACCCCACATGTGTATATCCACACATGTGAACAGCATGCAATAAAGAGTAGTTTCATGGTGGCCCACCTTCTGAGCATGTGCAAGACTGGTTTTAATTCCAAACATCAAAAGAGCAACCTCTCCATTCTAAAATTTCTCCTGTGACTCATATTCTGAGAACAAAGGGTTTGTTTCCCCTAGTCTTTAGGTCAGTACATAGGCAAACAGAAGTCTGGTCCTTCAGTTACATTCTAGAGGTCAGGTTAGATCTCACACACAGGTACCCCCCCCCACACACTCACACACACCCCCACACACACACACACACACACACACACACACACACACACACACACACACACACACTTTTCCTGCCACCCTTTGCTCTTCTCTGGGGACAGCTGTGGTCTAGCCCTTCCCAAATGTATGGAGAAGAATTGTTTCTCACAGTAACAAGATTGCGAAAACAGTTTTCAAATGAAGTCCCCATAGTTGGTCTGGTCTTTGAAATGGCGTCAGAGCAATGGCCCTTCTCGTGCCCTGTGCAGCGTAGCTGCAGGTGCCACCCCAGCCCTGGCCTGGAACCAAAGACCTGAAAACCAGCATGCGGCTGTCAGGTGGTGAGGGGAGACTTCAGAGGGAAAGGCAGCTCTCAGGCTCCTGAGGAAGCTCTGGGGTCAGAGTGCTGGCGGGAGGGTGTCTCTGCCCTTTCACCTAAGACAGATCATCTACTTAAAGGAAAACGGGGAACTTGAAAATGCATTGTTTGATTTGAACTCTGTTGCTGGTTTTCTGGATTATTGCTTTTCCTAATAATGCAAACCCAGATCTAAACTGCATGTCCATAAGTGAATGTCAGAACACTCACCATGTCTCTACTGTCTTTAGGGTGGAAAAATGGCTTATTATGAAATGCGAGCTGAGCATAGTGTGGATATAGACGTGGACATTGACTGGCCAATTGCAGAGCAAAGAGTTTTGAGGTAAAAGGAGGAAAAAGGTCTGTGGTAGCCATGGACCAGAGCCCAGGGCTGTTTTTAGCATGTTTAACTAGCCTTGTAAACATTGATTTGAGATAGTCTTTGGACTCAGTTTCCTCGAATGGGGAGATGTGCGTATAAAACACACCTGTAATGACTTTGTAAGCTGGCGGGGGCGGGGCTCAGTTTGGCTAAGCAGTGTGTTCTTACACTGCCTGCAAAGTGTACAGTGAAGTGAATTTGAAGAGTACTGTCTGAGTGACGGGTGCTGCTATAGATGCCCTTGGCCGGATGCCAGTGTGAGGGGCACTGGGTTTGTACTCAGCAGTTCTGTCTTGGTTTCTTTTAGATTTGGCTATTTTGGAAAAGAGAAACTGAAGGAGATAAAGCTTTTGGTTTGCAATATTGATGGATGTCTCACCAATGGCCACATTTATGTATCAGGAGACCAAAAAGAAATAATCTCTTACGATGTCAAAGATGCTATTGGCATAAGTTTGTTAAAGAAAAGTGGTATTGAGGTACGTGCTCCCCGAATACAGAAGTATGTAGGAAATTTGATTCAAGGTCAAAGAACATCCCTGCAATCAAGAGATTCAAAGTTTTACTATTTACATAAACTTTTTGAAGTACTGCTTGGTATATGCCTTAAAAACTCTTGACACTAGAAAGATGAAACTGGAGGTTTTCCAGTTGGTTAATATCTCCTGTTTAATTATACTTCAAACACTTCTTCGTTTTCCATAGAACTTTGGAACAAGGAAGATTTCCTTAATTTGTGTTGGTAACTAGAAAGGGGCAGACATTTTGTAGACTTTTTAATCGTAGCCTATTCATGTGAATGAAATTGTTAATTGAGAATAATTTAATGTATAGGTGTATTTCTTAAAACAAAGGTTAAACCAGGCCTGGTGACAACAGACCTGACTAGGGAGCTGAGGCAAGAAAATCATGAGTTCAAGAACTGACTCGAGATTAAACATGAAAAGGGGCCTGGAGACAGAACTCAGGGATAAAGCACTTGCCTAGCATGCTTGCACGATAGCTTGGATACAATCCACAGTTCAGCAGGGAAAAGGTTAAATAATTACAGTTCACTAGGAATCTTTGCTATGTGGTGCTTTACAGCACGGGGTAGACGTTCCTCCTGAGCAGGTGACTGACTGGGAGAGGCTGTGTGCTGCCTGGCACAGCTCATGTGCTGCCTGGCACATAGGCAGTAGTAGTCAAGCATGCTTTGTGTTGTAATTGATTTTTGTAACTGGCCCTTCAGAAGGTCAGAGGACCACTCGCTTGTGACTTGAGTCCCCACAGCTTCATTCATCACCAGGCCTGTCTTTGTTCCTCCCTTCTGACAGCCTCATTTCTTTTCCAGGTGAGACTCATCTCAGAAAGGGCCTGCTCCAAACAGACACTCTCCGCCTTAAAGTTGGACTGCAAAACGGAAGTCAGCGTGTCAGACAAGCTGGCCATCGTGGATGAGTGGAGGAAGGAGATGGGGCTGTGCTGGAAAGAGGTGGCCTATCTCGGTGGGTCATCTGCCGGTCTGCTTACCCTGTCAGAATAACCGGAAGGGAAAGTCTCCAAAACTGCAGACCAAAGTATCACATTAGAACAGTCTGGGCCAGAGGGTAATGGCAGTCGCTGCCAAGTCTGGTGACCAGAGTTCAATCCCCAGGATACGTGTGGTAGAAATAGAGAACTGACCTTCGAAAGGTGCCCTACCCTTTAACTCTTCTGTATGACTGACTTTACATATTCATAATCAACAAACTAAACAAACATTAGAAAGAGAAACAAAGATAAAGAAAGCTTGACATTGTGTAGGAATGTGTCATTTATGTAGGCAGAGGCCTAGAGGCAGAGGCCAGAAGGCACTGGCAAAGGCCTAGTGTGATCAAGGGAGGTGGTGTCCTTTGCGTTTATGAAAATGTTCCCTTCACAAATATGTATAGCTTGTAAAAAAAAAAAAAAAAAAAAAAACCTCAATGTGAGCAGTGTTTTAGATGGGCACATAAATGTATAAGAACACATTCCAGGGCTGGAGAGATAGCTCAGAGGTTAAGAGGCCTGACTGTTCTCTCTGAGAGCCCAGGTTTGCTTCCCAGCACCCACACAGTGACTCACAACCTTCTGTAACCCAGTTCCAGGGCACACAGCACCCTCTTCGGGCCTCCACGGGCACTCAATGAACATGGTTTACAGACATACATGCAAAACATTTAGACACATAAAATTAGAGAAAAAAATCTTGTTAAATGTCTTAACTGTGTTAGTGCTGTGCCAGGCATGGTGGTGAGTGTCTGTGGCCCAGCATGGGAAGGCAAGAGGATTGCAGGTTCAAGCTTGCGTCTCAGCAGCTCTCCTAAGAAAAATGTAAAGACAGGATTGTGAGTGAGCGACTGAGGAAAACAGCTAGCATTGACCCTTGTCCTCCATGCATTTGCAAACCCTAACCCCACACACAGCATGGCAAGGTTTCAGACAGTTGCCAATATTTGACCATGTAACAGCTATTAAATGGTTTTAAGGAGTATTTATTGTGTGAGTTTGATAATACTGTGTTAGTTTGATAACTGTATTTTTCTTTTTTTAAAATAATTTTGTTTATTTATTTACTATGTATACAACATTCTGCTCCCATGTATATCTACACTCCAGAAGAGGGCACCAGATCTCATAACGGATGGTTGTGAGCCACCATGTGGTTGCTGGGAACTGAACTCAGGACCTCTGGAAGAGCAGCCAGTGCTCTTAACCTCTGAGCCATCTCTCCAGCCCCTGTATTTTCCTATTAGATATAAATGCTTAAACGTTTGGGGATAAAGACCAAGAAGTGATGGCACACATCTTTAATCCCAGCAGTCAGGAGGCAGAGGCAGGTGGATCTCTGTGAGTTTCAGGACAGCCAGGGCTACACAGAGAAACCTTTCTTGAAAAAATTTTAAAAAAGTTTGGGGCTAAAGTCTGTGTGTGAATTCCTTCCACACTCTACCTCCAAGGAAACTAGGGTATAGGGCAGAGAAAGAAATAGTGATTAAATAATCTAAAACTGATAATTATTAAATATGACACCTGGGACCCTTGCATAAATTTGAAGTTTCCCTTCAGGTTGTCATTTGTGATTCAAGTGCAGAATCCCTGGTAATGATACACACAGTAGCAAAGGATATGCCTCACCCTCCACTCTCCCTCCATAGCTGGTAAGAGCTGCATCTGAGCTGCTCAGGGAAAGCCCTGCTCTCACTTTCACTTAAAGGAGCTGTTTTGTTCTGTGATTGTTGTGTTCCTGCTGCTATGCCATCTTACCTATGGGTTGTGGTTTGCATCATTTAGCAAGAACCTTCTGTATCTCTTTCCTATTTGAATGGTGTTCATCTCGCTTGCAGGCAATGAAGTATCTGATGAAGAATGCCTGAAGAGAGTGGGCCTTAGTGCTGTTCCTGCTGACGCCTGCTCCGGGGCCCAGAAGGCTGTGGGGTACATTTGCAAATGCAGTGGTGGTCGGGGAGCCATCCGGGAGTTCGCAGAGCACATTTTCCTCCTGATAGAAAAGGTTAATAACTCATGCCAAAAATAGAAATCAGTGTCATGTGAGGGACAGGCTTGGCTTTTGTTTTGATCACATCCCATGGTGTAATTTGCAGACTCGTGATCTGATTTGTGAGATACCTGACTCTTTTCAAAGAGGTTCTCAAATCATTGTCGCAGAACCCACGAGATAATTATGTCTGCTTTCCTCTGGTGCAAGGTTATTACTGAGGGATCGATCTAGTGTTCCTCAGACTTTTAGTAAATGCAAGTCAGACATCATAAACAATCAACTTTGTGTTGTACCCTGTCAAACTGTGTTTGTGTGGTTTTAATGATGCTGAGGTTTTATTTATTTTAAGGCAGTGTGTCTGGCAAGACAAACTATGTCGATTAATAAAGTTCATAAACTTGATGAAGTTTTGTTCTATAGAAGACACTTCCTAGGCATTTCCTTTAGCACTAGCCATGCAATCTCAAAAACAAGTGACTGGACACCAACTATGATACATGGTGACTGTGCTTTGTGTATGCACACAGAGAGAACACACACACACACACATAAATGCAGAGATCTAAATAATTCATGCCTTTGCCTGTTCTGTAATGATTTAGAAGAGACAGAATGAACCATTGGCAGCCACAGCTGAAGTAATGCTCCCCTCATATACTAAACTCAGCTTCCACAGTGACCCTGTGGCCAATGCAGATTGTCCCCACTGGATTCCAAGAATGAGGCATCAGCTCAAATGTGGACACTTAACAAATAGTAAACGTTGTTTACTGAACATTTACAACTCTTCCCACCATTAAAAGGAATCTCATATTAGTGATGACAAGAAGTAGGTCCTTCATGCCCACTGTTGTAGACAAGTTTTGTCACCACGGGTCTGCAGTTCTCAACTCAGTTTTCACCTCAGATCTTATCACAGGTGTGTCAGCTCTAACCACCAGTCCCTAGGCTGTTCATGCAATAAGCATCTGTGAGGTGGCTGACCCCTTTGTTATATGACAGCCTAGGTGGTGTGGTGGCACATTCCGAGCTCTAGGGAGTTCAGTGCCATAGTGAAACCTTGTCTCAGAACAAATAAGGAAAGTCAAGAAAGCTTGCCTCAGTTTCTCCTGTGTGCCTGTTCAGTCAGCAAGTTTTGAGTCTGATGCTGCCAGCCCCACACCCTTCAGATTTTTCTAGGTCCCTTGTTTTAGTGCTTAGTGCTATCTTTTGTAAAATCTTCCAGTTACTCCATGCTAACCACAGAAAAAAAACACTTCAGTCAAACACTGGCCACAACCACTTCCAATTGCTGTGGGTAGTCCCGTTTTGTCAATAGTGCCCATATTTAGCCTGGGGTCAAGTTCCACCCATATGAACTATTCATTCCTCAGATATACCGCCCCTCAGGAACTACTGTGTGAGAAAATAGAGTTTTACACTAGGGTCCTCGTTCCAGTCACCCAAACTCTGTACAAGGTGGAAATGCAGCTTCACTGTTGAAACTACTGTTCATGGTTCCACTGATAGAAACCCCTGGGCAAGAAGATGCTGCGCGCTCGTCTGTAACAGGCAAAAGCTTACTCCAATCCCCCGGACCACAAAAACGCCAGACAATGAAAGCAACACTTTTGGAGCTTGTCTGAACAGAACAACTCAAACTCACCCAGAGAACCTCAAACTTCCCAAAGAAGTTGCAACCAGATACCATGGATGAGGCTCTTTAGTAGTGTCTGGTAAGGAAGGCCAAGTGTGGGCCACAGTGTGAGAAACACCTGGGGCGGCCGGTGCTGGCAGGGTGCCAGTGGGCTCCTACAGGGTCTGGAAATCTAAGCAAGGGAATCTCTTGGCCACAGGCAGAGAAGGAAAACAGCCACTGGGAACTCCTTACCTTTTCCTCCCTAGTAAGACTGCTCCAAGGTGAAGGCCCTCTCCCCTCAGCTCAGGAGAATCCGTAGTGAGCAGCAAAGAAGGCATCAAGGAAGCAGACCGGGACACCACAGGGACAGGACTTGGGAAGAAGCCCTGGAGGAGGCACGGGACAGCTTGGAGAGTGAGTGACCATTGCAGAATGCCACGGCTTCCTCTTTTTTTTTCTGGTTAAACTTAGTGTGTTGTGTTTTTATTTATTTGCAATTGTTTAAAAATTAAAGTTTATAAGTTTTTTATTCCTCTCACACAGTCTATCCCAACCACAGTTTCTCTTCCCTCCACTCTTCCCAGACCCCTCTCCCCCGAGCCTCCCCAGATCCACTCCTCTGTTGCCCTTCTGAAAAAAACTAGACCTCCCAGGGTATCAACTGAACATGGCATAACAAGTTACAATAAGACTGGGCACAAAGCCTCCTATCGAGGCTGGACAGACAACCCAGTAGAAATCTACAAGACTGACCTATCAGGGCTGGAGAGATGGCTCAGCAGTTAAGAGCACTGACTGTTCTTCCAAGAGGTCCTGAGTTCAATTCCCAGCAACCACATGTGGTTCACAATCACCTTGAATGAGATCTTGTGTCGTCTGCTGGCATAAGACATAATAAATAAATAAAATCTTTAAAAAAAAAAAAAGAGTGACCCTATCAAAGACACCTGGTAATGGGGGATGCAGAGCCCGATCCAGCCATCTTTTGTAACCAGGGACAGCTTCCAGCAGTGGAATTGGGACACCAACCCGGCAAGAGAACTTTCAACCTACAGTCTGTCTGGTCTGCAAAATGTACTGGCATAGTGTTGGCGAAGAACTTGTGGCAATGGCTAATGAGCTTGAGGTATAACAAGACCAGTGCCACCAGAGGGAACCTATGCCTGACACTGCCTGGATGGCTTCCACTCTACACTTCATACATTCACCAAGCCTCCAATAAAGTGAGTTAACACCACACACACACACACACACACACACACACACTAATTTGCAAAACATAGACATTCTCTTGGGAAGAACAAAAGGAAATTCCAAAGCCACAAGCAAGGACCCTGAAGGAATTTGATTTTTCTAGTATTCACAGCTACAATAAAGATATAACCCAACTCCCTGCAAGACTGACACAAACCTTTCTACTAAAAACAGATTGTCACAGTCCCTAAAACCCAGCTTTCCACAATAAAATAACAAGTCTTAGTAAAAGGCAAGAAATGGCTAAATTTAAAGAAAATGATCATGGAACCCACACTCAGATATGACATGGATGTTTATATTACAGACAGGCCATTTAGAAGAGCTCTGGTCTGATGCAAACAGACGATGGGAAAGTTATACAATGTGCAAGGCCAGATAACTAATGCCAGCAGAGATATAGAAACCATAAAGATGGGTTAGACTGGCCATGGTGGCCGATGCCTGTAATCCAAACTCAAGGCTAGCATGGGCTGCATTAGTAAGGCTCAATCCCAAAAATTAATCAAAAGGAAATACTAGGATTCAAAGACATGATGACAAAAAGGTCTGTGAGAACAAATTAAAAAGGTGTAACATATTTGGTAATCTAAGCAAAACAGACAGGACAGAGGAGTGCATGAAGCATGGTGGCTGAGAAGCTCCCCACATTAACAGGAAATCCTGAAGGAAGCTATAGGCAGCGGGGACAACAACACTGAAGAGTGAAGGTTATTACAGGTTTGCTTTATGAAGCAAGAACAGTGCTCTATAATGTCTGAAATACTAAAAGAAAATGACCCCAACCTTAATTTCTACATCCAGTGGAATTTTCCTTCAAGAGTAAAGACAATAAAAGGTGCTCATGGGGCTGGAGAGATGGCTCAGCAGATGGGAGCTCTGACTGCTCTTCCAGAGGACCCAGGTTCAATTCCCCACCTTCATGGCAGCTCACAACCGTCTGTAACTCCAAGATCTGACACCCTCACACAGACATACGTGAAGGCAAAACATCAATGCACATTAACACACACACACAAATGTGCTCACACACAAAAAGAGACTTCATTGCCCAAAAAAAGAGGAAGAGAAGGAAGAAGCTTAGAAGAAACTATAAGAGCTAGAAACTTGCATCTATGCAAAGAAGAATAGAAAAAATAAGTGAAGATAGAAGAATTTATCCTTAAAATGACGGCTCTAAAGTAATAATTGTACAAAGCATAGTATGATCACAGCCTACGGATAAGGGAATCGGGAGACACAAAGCTGGAAGGATGAAGTAGGTACATATTCCTACAAAAAGGAGTTGTGCAATACCCTTTAAGGGCCTATTTAGATTGTATTTAGATGTACATGTTAACCCTCGGGACAGCCACGGAAAAGTACTTGCTGTAAAACTGGGTGTGTAGAGAGGCTGAGAAGATAAGCTCGCACTCGGCTGTTCAGCAGATGCAGGTGCACTGCCGACACCCACGCTGGGAGGGTCATTGGCTCGCTGGCTCTCAGAGAGCCTGTAAATCCAGCTCAGGAGACCTAACACCTTCTTCTGGTCTCCACAGTCACACACACACACACACACACACACACACACACACACACACACACTGATACAGACACACATAACACTTTAAAATACAAAAATAAAGGAAATAAATATGAAGTATATACCGAGACGAGCACTTGATGGGATTTCATCTTACCTCCTGTGTTGTTGAATCACAAGCCCCCGTCTAGTCCCCAGCAGGTCTCTCTTCACCCTCCCACCCTCTGCAGGGAGAATAGCACCTACAGAGAGCTAAGCACCAGCCCTGCCCCCATTTCCTGCCTGCCTTAAAGCCCCCTCTCCACAGCTGGCAGCTGTATTCAGTGTGTGCTTTTAAATGACAAAGGTCAGGAGAGAGAGCTCCTCTGTTCAGTTCTCACCATCTTGTTGCAACCCAGTGGCTGCTGGGAGTCACACCTCTCAGTCGGAAGGGTTTGGGCCTCTTCTGGGGAATTGCCAGTGGACACAGCCTCCCAGTGACTTGGTTCACCCAAGGTGACTCACTTTTCATACACGTTCAATGACTATGTGGCTACTTATAAGCATTGTTGCCTGATAATGCAGACCATAAAAATGACCTCCCTATATCTTAACTTATTTTAATCCACGCAGCTCTATAAAGGAAGTTTATAGATGTGGGAATTGTGCAATAGACAGCAATAACTTACCAAAGGTCGGACACTAGGTGGCAGCCCTAGAACATTCCAGGGCAGCAGATGGGAGCCCAATCAGGCTTCCTTAGAGAAGGCCCCTCAGCCACCTGCCAAAGGTCTTAGACAATGGTTCATCATGATAAATATTTGTGCACATATGTGTACCAGCCCTATTGTGGAGTGTCAGGTGTAGAACCTGGGACTTCAGTCTAGAGTCTGCATGTTAGGAAGGCTAAGCGATGGTAACCTGAGCACACTGAAGTACAAGAGCCCTTTAGCTGGAGGAGTTGGGGCCTAAATGTACAACAGGGTAGGACCCAGGCTCAGAGACCTTCCCATGCTCTCTTCAGAGACA